TATGACGACGATGTTGATAATGTGGATAATGCACCTAATGCACCTAATGCATCTGTTGAAGATCAAAGTATTAATTATCATTCTACAGTGATTCCATACTTAGATCACACTGAAGAAAATGCAGTAGATTTTATCTATACGAGAGATGACGGTTCCATTCGAACGACACTTTGGAATTCAAACAATCCTAAACATATCCAGTCAGGTTTGATTGTTGTAAACTAAATATTTTATAGTTGTTTATTTATTTATTTATTTCATGTTGATTAATTTAATTTATATATGCAACTAGGTATGTTATTTATGAATTAGATGCAAATGAAATCTGTAGTAAGAGCATATAGTCTTGCTATTAAAAAAGAATTTCGTTGTGATCAATCCAAAAGTAAAAGTTGGAAAGTTATTTGCAAGTGTCATGATTTAGGGTGTGATTGGATGATTCGGTTTAGAGAGATTTCAAGCGGTATGTGGAAGACAAGAAAAATTATTGAACCGCATACTTGTCTTACAGATAATTATAAGGAAGATCATTTCAATTTAAATGATAACATGATTGCCACTTCATTAATACCATATGTTATGCAAAATCCGGAAATAAATATTAAGATGATCCGTGAAATTATCAAAGGAAAGCATCACTATACTCCTAGTTATAGAAAAGCACAAAAAGGTCGAAGAAAAGCATTTCGAATGGTTTATGGTGATTTTGAAAGTTCATTTAAGGCATTACCTCGATACATGGCTGCACTACAATTATTCAATCCAGGCACTATTATTGAGCGGGAGCATCATTCTACAACAATGCAAGGTGAGCAAATTTTTAAATTTCTTTTTTGGGGTTTTAAACAGAATAATGATGGTTTCAAAAGTTGTAGGCAGGTAATATCTATCGACGACACACATCTTTATGGTTCGTATGATATCAAATTGTTAATTGCGGTTGGAATTGATGCGAATGGAAATATTTTTCCACTTGCATATGCTTTAGTTGCACGTGAGAGTTTTGAGTCTTGGTCATGGTTTCTCAAGTTATTATGGACACATGTAGTTTGTGAACGACAAGAAATTGGTCTTATTTCTGACCGTCATCAAGGAATCTTGCAGTGCGTTCAATCTTATGATTGGTTGAGTCCACCCAACACATATAATAGATTTTGTGTTCGACATTTAAAAGCAAATTTAAATAAAAGATTTGTAAATAGTAAACTCGAAAATCTAATGTGGTTGGCTGCTATTGAGCATCAGGAGAAAAAGTTTGTGCAACAGATGCAACAAATCAAAACATTGTCTCCTACAGCATATGAATGGTTAAATGAATTTCCTTTGGAAAAATGGACAATGTATAAGGATGGTGGTCGTAGATGGGGTTCTATGACGACAAATGTGTCTGAGTCATATAATGGTTTATTGAAAAAAGCTCAGGGGATTCCTGTGACTGCCATGGTTCGAATGACGTTCAAAGATCCCGTTGATCATTTTGTCGAAAGAAACAATCTTGCAATTGCATTACTTCAAAGTAATATGCCATGGCCTCTTGCGATAGGTAAAAAAATTAATGATTATTATCAAAGAGCTCAAGGGCACACAGATATGATGACTTACAACACATGTGATGGAGTTTTTGAAATTCTTACTTTTGCTCATGATGGTAAATGTGGAAATGTCCACAATGTTACTGCAAAAGGTAAGAAATGTTCTTGTGGAAAATGGAGAAACTATCATATGCCTTGTTCGCATGCCATCAAATTTTGTGGACTTCGCGGAATCGAACCAAAATCTTATGTAAGTAAATTCTACAGTGCAAAATATTACAAACGAACATATAGTGAAACATTTAATCCAGCGGGTGATGAAATGTATTGACCACCAGCTCCATTTAATTTAATTGCAAATACAGAATATTTGCGGACAAGTGGTACGCTAGTAAGAAGCCGACTTAAGAATGATATGGATATAGCTCCGGCTCGCATGACTAGAAAATGTAGTGTTTGTAAGGAGACAGGTCACACAAAGGCACGATGTCGTACTCGATTTTAAATGTTTTGTCTATGTTTTTAAGGTTAATGTATTTTTATTATCTTGTTATTAATATTATGATATATCTTTTATATTTATTTGTTGACATGAATTTAATTTGTCTTGTGCATTTTAAATATTGTACGTATAATATCTTTACATTATTATTATATTATTGATTTGAACTCTATTAAAAAAATAATGATTTGACCTAATATAAAAAGTATTGATTTGACCTAACTTAAAAAGTATTGATTTGACCTATGACATAACGAAAATTAAATGCTGCAAACTTGTTCAAACATAAAAAAAAGAAGGAAGAATCTCATTACTTTTTTCAAACTTGCACGAAACAACAAAATTTACATATTTCAAAATTTGAATCTTCAGCCTTTTATAATAAAGGTGCATAAAAAAATTATTCTTCTGAATCCGAATCTTCTACATCTTCATTTTCAAAATCCTCCTCATTTTGATAGTGACTGTCTGTTCCATATCTAGTTGATTTGTGTAGCCTAGATGTTCTCCGAGGTGGATTTTGTCTATTAAGAACTAAATTTTGTGAAGCCCCAGCATTAAATCTTGAATCATCGAATACAGTTACCTATAATACAATACAATATAATATAATCAAATAACATGCAATAAAATTTAAAAAAATTATAAAAAGTTAAAAAAATTGTATGAAAATTATTATACTTACATTCGAAAAGTTCAATCTTCCACCAAATGGAGAATTATGTATAGGAAATTCACGTGTACCATGTTGAATACCATATTGAGATCCACTAAATTGCACAAAATCAGATATTGGAACCTGTGTAGTTACAAAACCAACTGTTTGCTAACTAGAAAAATTAACATTAGTGTTAGAGGGCCCTATAGAAAAATCAAATGTGGGATAATAAGGCTCGAGAGTCGCCACATTAGGGTTAGAGTGCCCTGCAGAAAAATTAACTATTTCACCAGCGGTCCTTCTACCTCGACGAGCACCCTCTCTCGGTGTTGTTTGTCATGATCGACGAGATACTTGTACTGGTGGTGGTTCATTGTATTGAGTGGGAGGATTGTAATCAGGATCAAAGCTCAATCGCGTTCCCTGAAAGGCCGTATTCATTGACTCCATTGAAATACGAGCGACTTCCTCTGCATATTGTCTCATTTCATTAGATTGATTTTTATCATTTTCAATCATCCGAGATCGACGATACTGCATTTCATGACCCCTAGCCTATAATGAATAAACAAATATTAATAACAAAAAAATTATTAAAGATTGACATAATGATTTAAAATTTACATAATATACATAATAATGCCTCATGTCTTCCTGCCATGTGTTGATACCCTTTTTGTACAACATGTTGTGGATTTCCAATGACCATGTGGGTATGCCTCATGTACCAACGAAAGTAATCTGTTTGATCACTTACAAATAGAGGTCGAAATATACGATTTTGACGTTGTTCCCATAAATATGGTGTGTAGTTAAATGCATCTGTATCTTCTTGTTTTATTTTGGATCGTTTATCACGCTTAAAATGATATTCGGAAAATTGGGTACACGGTCCAGGAATATGTTGTAAATAACCGCATCTGTCTCACAACACGATCAACCATGTGCCACTCACTATAAATTCCATAAATCAGTGGCACCTGTGCCATCCAGACATGTTGTCCTGACCGACACCACTCAGGCAATCCATTAATAACATCTTCCGAATAAGGCTGCCAAATAAACTATAAAAAAATAATTAAGTAAGATAATTATAAAAACAACATTGGCAGAAAAAAAATATGTACGTGAAAATGAACAATCTTACAAAATAATTTTTTTGTACCATTGTGTCATAACATATTTTACTTTTAAGGACCTAACAAGAATTTGTGTATATGTCATTTTATTCACATAAGTTTCTTGGGTAGTGAAACATAAGTGCCTCATTTAAAGATCTACCAAATATATTTTAAAATAAAATAAAATATGAATAGTTTAAGATACTAATAATATTAAATACATGTTCATCAATTAGATTATCTAGTACATCCCTAATCACACTGATTACAGTTCGTGCCTCATTTTGATGATTTCTACGTCGCGTCCATTTACGTGCAAGCGCAGTTGAAGCCTCAAGTTGATTGGTCCTTAGAGGCTTTCGCAATAGTTGCAGGGGAATAATTCTTTCCCATGCCAAAATCTATAATAAATAAATTCACCATTACTTATAATGCACTTAAATTTAAAAGTGCATATTACTAGTATATAAAAAATATTTAATTAAAAAATATGTATACCTGCACTAAAGGGAGAAATCCACAAACTTCATTTGATTTTTTCATTGACGCACGGCATAAACAATTATACAAATATGATAATGCTGCTGATCCCCATGCTTGAGTTGACATTAAATCTAAATTTTTCATGTCAATCAAAATGTCCAAATTAATCTTATTATTAGATTTATCACCGGAAATATTGATCCACCACATAACCATAATAAATATAATCTAAATCTTTGTTGAACTTCATGCTCAGTTCAGTTATCATTAATACCATCCAAACCTTCGATATAATCAATCAATTTATATGTTAACAATCTACTAACACCAGAAAAACAACAAGTATCGGGTAACCATCCTGTTAATTCAAATTTCATTTCTTGTCTACCTATAATCCCTAAAGAATCAGCTCCATATAAAATTATAGGACTACCATCTACTACCATTCTGAATAAAATTTCAATATCTTGTAAAGTTATGGTAGCCTCGCCAGTTCGCATGTGAAAAGTATGAGTTTCTGGACGCCACCTTTCAATTAAAGCAGAAATTAATCCGGAGTCATACGACACACATCCTACATCAAGAATTCCTTTAAATCTACAATTTTCAAAATATTGAAGGATGCGAGAATGGAATGGATGATATTTTATATGTTGCCAAAATTCAATATCACCACGACGCGTATATAAGCAAGACCTCTCTTCTTTTATGCTACCATTCCAAATTCCTTCGGAACGATGATGAACTTGAATTTTTAATACATCATGCTCTACTGGACCAGGATGTACGTATACATTTGACGGATGCATATCTATACACAAAAAATAAAAAGAAATATTAACATTAATATAAGTATCAAACGATTGAATATATCAACAATATCATATAAAAGTATAAAATAAAATAAAATAAAATAAATTTAAACTCACCTTATAAAGAAAAGGCTTTTAAAAACTTTAGAAAATTTGAAAAATAACAAGAATTTTAAGATTGTTGGAAGATTGAAAGTAGAATGCAATATGAATATGAAGGATAATTCACCAATTTATAGCATTGTAAACATATTAATACTATTTACATGTGAACTCTCTATTCAACTATTTACAACAAAAACAAAATCTTTACTATTCACATGTGATTCATCATGTGATTATCTTTAATTTATATATATATTTGTTTTTAAAAAACTCAATAAAATCGCTGTCTTTAATTTTTTATTTAAAAAAATTAATTATTTGAATTTAAAATTTTATTTGAATTCAAATATTATTTAAATTTAAATTCAATATAATATATTTTTTTAGAAAGAAAATATATTTATTACTTTACTTATTTTTAATTTTTTTAAAATAATGTATATTTTCTTATAAGTTATATATTTAAATTTTAAAAAATATTATGAATTTTTTTTATATATAAAATCGCTGCGTCAACATTTTTTTAAATTTTTTTTATAAAGTCGCTGCCAAGGCAGCGATTTATAATTTTATTTTATTTTACAAAACGTTAAATCGCTGGTGTGGCAGCGATTTAAAAAAACAAAATTTTTTTATAAATCGCTGCCAAGGCAGCGATATACTTTATTTTAAAATCTGTATTCTATATTGTGTTTGACTTTTGGAGACTAAAATCTTCTGATTTTTTTTACTCCATTGGTTTGAATAATATAAGATTTTTTTGAACAAATCAGATTGTGCATTGATTTGAAGAATATAGAAATTTCACCAATTTGTTAGATATTCTATTTGAATGAATATTCTGAATTGAAGACTAGAAAATTTTCATCACGAATATTAAGGCTAAATGATTTGAAAAACATAAAATCTTCATCATTACCTAGAAACAATGTTGTATTTGAGGTTTCTAGAGATAAAACCTTTTTGGTTTACTAGTTTGTCGTGAAACTGATTCGAAGAATATAAAAACTTCATCAGAATTCAAGGTTCATTTTGTTAACGATTAGAAGACTATAAAAACTTCATCGTTAAACTAGAAACAAGTTGTATAAAGATTGAATCTTTATTGTTAGTATTCTAAATACTAAGTCGTCTGTCTATTCTGACAGAAAGGAAAAAAAACTAGAAAAAATATTAGTTTTTTTTGCATGCAATCGGTATTTCTATGGATTAAATCTCCAAAAAAATGTTTCGTGTTGCCAATGTGTATTTTGATGGTATACAATTTGAAAGCATGAAAAAAAATATGTGGAAAATAATATAAAGTACTTGAAAAATATTTTTTAGAACATATTGTGGGGGTTCTTTACTTGTGATAAAGACAAAATTAACTTACTGTCTAATTTAAATTTGGAAGTACAAGATATGAAATTTGATGACATCACAAGTAACTGCATTCTCAAGACAATCTTATCGTATTAACATTAAACTTCGATGTTTACGTGCTTTATAGAAGAATAAGTCATTTGTTTGCTACATATTTTAGGAACTTTTTTGTAATACGTGGAATATGTAGATTTATATTTCTAATAAATTTATCTCGTGCATTTGTTATTTCATTAAAGACATTATATACAATTATTATTATTTTTCAATCAGGAATTCATCGACATATTCATACCCTTAGAGACTATATTCTCTTAATTAGTTTCACATATTTCTTGTTTGATACCAAATGCACCATACTATTTTATGATTTTCTTAATGAATAAAAAAATAGAAAACATAATATTGTTAATTTCAACATTTTCTATCTTATTACTCACTTTTAAATAAATAAACAAATTATAATAGTAGTAAGGGTCAAATACCTCATAGTAAAAAGTTGAACAAATAGACGCACGTGTCTTAAATATTATCTTATATGTCATTTTTCGTCCCACGTGGTGTCCTAAGTGTATTTTGCAATGTAGGACTCATTTGCTTATTTAGGGATAATGCCCAAGTACCCCCTCAACCTATGCCCGAAATCTCAGAGACACACTTATGTTATACTAAGGTCCTATTACCCCCCTGAACTTATTTTATTAATAATTTTTTACACCTCTTTAGCTTACGTGACACTATCTTATGGGCCCAATGATGGTTGACTTTCTTTTTCGAACTCACGTAGGCTAAAAAGGGGTAGAAAGTTACAGATAAAATAAGTTCAGGGGGGGTAATAGGACCTTAGTATAGTATAAGTGTGTCTCTGGGATTTCGGGCATAGGTTGAGGGGGTACTTGGGTATTTTCCCGCTTATTTATTTAAAAGTTGGATAGTTAAAACTTGAAACCAAGTTTAGGATTCAATATATGTATTATGACTTTAAACAAATTTGCAACCATTAAACATACAAACAGATCTACCAACTACGTAACCATAGCTATTTCTCTCTCTCTCTCTCTCTTCAATTTCGTTCTTTTTTCTTTCTCTTATTTCTTTTCGAAAAAAATTCTCTCTCTTCACTTTGATTCTTTTTTTTTTTAATCTTATTTCTTTTGGAAAAATATTTCTCTCTCTTCAATTTCGTCCTTCTCTCACTCTTATTTTTTGTAAAGAGATTTATGTCTTCCTATCGTTCTCTTCAATTCCATTTCAATTCTTTTGGACAAAATACCTTTTACTTTTCTCTTCAACTTTATACATTTTAGTTTTTAAAAAATTAATATTGATGTGTACTTTCTTAAATCATAATGAACAACTTACCCAAAAATGTAATCAAATTTCACACATATTTAAATTAGGCATACTACATAAATACATCCTTTAACTTAACCTCCTTTTATATTTATGTCCTTCAAGTTTGAGTGTGCACAAATAGACACTTAAATTTTTATAAAGTTGAACAAATACATGTATGACACCACGTAAGACACAAATTTCCATGTAGTATGCCATGTATACTACAAAAGAAACAACTTTTAGCGGCAATAAACAAACACATGAATAAAGAGTGATAAAATCTTTACCGGCATTAGTTAAGTGTCATTAGATTTAATATTACTAAAGCCTTTATGGACATATGCAAAGAGTGTTAATTGGCAATAAAAGTATATATTTAGCGGCAATTGCTAATTAATTGTCATTAAAGATCATAGTGGTAGGACATTTGTGTCTATTTGTTCAATTTTATACAAATTTAAGTGTCTACTTGTGCATATCAAAAGTTGAAGGGTATAATTATGAAATAAGGCCAAGTTAAAAGACATATTTATGTATTATGCCTTTAAATTATTACGCTCATAACACTGTTGTATTCCTTAGTGGTGGAACCAACCAAAGATGGAGTATCGTTTTATATTTAAAAGTATATCAAGTGGTGTACAATGTGGGTTAAGTTTGGTGTACAATTGTTTTTGGAAAAATTACATGAATTAGTACATTTTAATAAATAATTACTGATTTTAGCAATAATTTTTACTTAGGCATGCCTTTTATTTATTACTTCCTCCGTTTAAAAAAGAACATCCTTATTTTCTTTTTAGTTTGTTTCAGAAAAAAAATGTCCCCTTTCTTTTTTTGGCAACACTTTAACTTTAACTTTCCACGTAACATTTTTAAGACCACAAGATTAAAGGGCATTTTGGTACATTTGACATAACTTTAATTTTGAACCACAAGTTTAAAAAGTCTTCCTTCTTTTTCTTAAACTTCGTTCCAAGTCAAACTAGGCCAATCTTTTTTAAACGGAGGGAGTACCAGTTATAGCAATACTATGTTAAATCTGAAATATGTATTAAAAGTGAATTATGTATGAATTATAATTGGTTTTTAAAATATATTATGTTTGTTTGGTAAAAATTTGAGTCATAGTATTATAAATGTATTAAAATGTGTGATAAATAAATTATCTATCATTAAAATTTGTATTATATGTGAATTAAAAAATTATTCTTTGTAATATGAATTAAACTTGTATTATATATAAATTAAAAGTGATCAAATGAAAAAGAAATATTATTACTATAACTGATAAATATTTTTTATTATAGTATATTAATGTAAGTTTCCCGTTGTTTTTAACCACAATGAATAACTTACACTAAAAAAATAATCAAATTTCACACCAAGTAAAAATCGCACGTTGAAACATTCATTTTTGTTATATGTCCCAAACAATAAACTATCTTGCACCATAATTCCATCAACTATCTACCAATTATTATCATCAAAATAATGAAAAACCAGACCAATATATATGAAAAGATCATTAATGTTAATAAAAATTTCATTTGTAAAAAAATTAAACTACAAAGTATTGTATTTATGGTGTTGTTTTACAAAGCAACACCAACATATCAAAAAATTACCAAAATACATACAAATTAAAAAACATACCAAACAAAAGTTTTAACTGTCATATTCGAAATAGATAATTAAGTCTTTTTAATCACCAAAAGAAAACTCATATACAAAATGGTGCATATTATGGTTAAACTATGGTGTCAAGTTCAATATGATAAATAGAATAAGGTCTACATTAAGATATACACCATAACCTTACAAAAAAACACCAAATATGTTATATTATCAATTTAAATAGATGAAGGTATACATTTTAATTAAAATTTGGTGTAAAGTGCACTATGATCCAAAATACATAATTTAAACCAAAATATACACCATAGTTCAATCAAGAATTTACCAATTATTTTGTATAACCAAATTAATTAAAACTTGTGTACTTTATTGTTTGGCATTGATTTTCAAATCAATATTATCCATAAATGATGGTAAATATATAAAATTATTTATAATGGATTGTAACGTTTGTTTTGATTATATATGAAACCTCAATTAAAATACCATAATCTATAAAGGATGCTAAATGTTCCGTTTTAACAACTTCGACAATAAAAAGATGAATCTACAATTCAAATCCGTACAAGAAAGATCAAATAGTTTACACTTAAATATCGTAGGAACAATAATATCACAACAATTATCAATACTTCTAATCATACCTTGCAATTTTTTTTTAATCATAGTTTTGTTAGGCACATGGCCATTTTATTAATTGACAAACAAAATAGAACAGACCAAATGGGCCCAATAAGAAACAATAGGCAAAAAATATCTAATTCAGCCCAAAAAGAAACCCTATAAACTTCCGCCTCATTTTCATTTTCCCTTATCTTTGTCGTCCATATGCTCCCAGGCGGCCGTCAGAACTTCCAACTTCGCCGTCTTCTCCTATGGG